GGAAGGCAGCCCCCTGCCCCCCCCCCCCCCCCAGAGATCTGCCTGGCTCGCTCCCTTGTTCATTCAGGTGCTGCTCCAATGTCACCTCTTCATACAGACCTTCTCTGCCTCTCCCCCTCCTTCCACATCTAAAATCAGTACTCACAGCCCTTCTTTATATCCTTACTTGGCAATATTTTCTTCACAGCACTTACTGTTACCTGGCATTACATTTGACTGAGCCATATAAAATTGTCAAATATCAGGGCTTCCCTGGTGGCGCAGTGGTTGAGAGTCCCCCTGCCGATGCCGGGGACGCGGGTTCTTGCCCCGGTCTGGGAGGATCCCACATGCCACGGAGCGGCTGGGCCCGTGAGCCATGGCCGCTGAGCCTGCGCGTCCGGAGCCTATGCTCTGCCACGGGAGAGGCCACAACAGTGAGAGGCCCACGTACCGCAAAAAAAAAAAAAAATTGTCAAATATCAGCAATGTCATATGGTTCAACCCAATACTGTATATTTGTTCACTGGTCTTTCATCTGCCTCCCCCACCAGAATGTCAGGTCCACCCGGTAGGGATTATTATCTGCTGCATTGCTTTTTTTTTTTTTTTGGCCACGCTGTGTGGCACGTGGAATCTTAGTTCCCCGCCCAGGGATCGAACCTCGGCCCCCTTCAGTGGAAGCGCAGAGCCCTAACCACTGGACCGCCAGGGAAGTCCTATCTGTTGCATTTCTGCTACATCCTCAGCACCTAGATCAGTCCCTGGCACACAGTAAATGTTGAATGAATGGGTGTATGAATCCTTGGGCTGGGTGTTTGGCAAAAAAACTTGATAAAGGAGTTGGACATGAGTTGGAGCTGACTAGGGAGTTGCTTCTGCAGCTGGGACTGAACAGCAAAAGGGCAGAGCAGCCGGGTACCTGGGCCAGGGAGGCAAAGCTGGACAGCACTGGGGAAGGAGCATCTGGCGAGCACCTACTATGTGCCAGGCACTGAATTAGACACTTCTGTCATCTCTTTTAGTCCTCGTGACAGCCCCATGAGATGGGTATTGTCACTTACTCTCCCATTATACAGATGAGGAAACTAAGGTTTAGCGAGGCTAACTAATTTGTCTGAGGCTCACTAGTTAACTTAACAAGCCACAGAGTAGCCCCCACGTGCAGGGGGCCTTCCCTCTGCATCTCCTCACCTCCTTGCAATTTTGATTGTTTCGTGGAGTTTCAAAAGCCCCTAAGGAGCATGGGACCCTCTCAGATTTGGGGCCAGAGCTCTCAGGCTGCCTTGCTGTTTCATGCTTGCGAGACCCCAGGTAGGTCATAATTTCTCTTTTTGTAGAGGCTTCATGGCCAACCATGGTGAGAATTTGAGTAGCTGGCCCTGCTGTTTGGGACCACGAGGACTGTAGTGTTGGAGGAGCTGCCATATTTCTGAGTCAAGATGCAGTCTGGGAGGCCAGGATGGGCACCCAACCTCATAATCATGTGGGGCTTTTGTCTCAGTTTCTAAGACGTCAGTCCGCAACCCCAAAACCATGTCCCTGCCCTCCAGAGGCTCACAGCCTCGCTAGGAAGGCAGCACCACAAGAACAGGCACTTGCTGGGCACCAGGCAGCCTGACTGGTGGTTAGGCATATAGACTCTGGAGCAGGACACCAGGTTTGAAGACCACGTCCACCACCTTCTTGGTCATGCGTGGCTTTGGGCAAATTACTTAATGCCTCTGGGCCTCAGTTTCTCCATCTGTACTAGGGAAATAATGGTATCCTGACACCTGGGAGCTGCCCAGTCCCATCAGCCAGGCCCTGGCATTGCTCAGAGCTGGCCTAGCACAGCTCATCTTGATGTGCTCCCGTTGAATGCAGACAAGGCCATCTGTGACCACAGTGGATCAAGACAAAAGCAAGACACTCTGTAATCACAGAGAAAACACGAGTATTGTCCAAACCACAAACGTGACCAAACACCCCATCTAGCTACCCTGAGTGAAGGTTGCTGCTTTACCGGCTCTCTCCTCATTCTAGTTGGCCGTCCTTCCAGATAAGATTTCTTAAGACACCTAATCACGGAATCACCTCCACTTCCTGATGGCAACTCATCTGGACCAAAGTCTGGCTTCCTTATACCCTCTACCAAATTACCTAACGCAAGCCCAAACCTTACAATAAGTCCTTTCCAACACCCTCTTACTGAGACACAGACCCCGTTCCCCCGCCCCCGGTTCCCACGTGCATGTTCCCGCCTCAATGCAGTGAGTGACAAGCCCAGCTTGTTCACCCACAGGTGTGTTTCTGGGTATCTTTGGCTAGAGGCATTGACAGTCCCTACCTCATCGGGTTGTTGTTTTACTGCACTTGGAATGAAGCATTCCCAGGACCCTTTAAATATACTTATCATGTTTTAATATCATTTCCATTTTACAAGGAGGACACTGAAACTCAGAGAGGGGAAGGAACTTTGCCCAGGGTCACATAGCTGGTAGTGCAGAGGCAGGATGGAAACGCAGGTCTCCATTCCAAAGTTGGTTTCCTCACCCCCCGCCTCGACGTTGACAGGGCAAAAACCAACCACACTGGGCCGGTGTCTGGGAGGAGGAGAGCAGAGGGGCCTCGGAGCTCAAAGAGAAGAGAGCACCGGGACTGTGGGAGGGGACACCCAGGAGGTCCTCAGTGACCCCTCCTCTTCCTCTCCCATTCATGACTTCCCAGACAGGATCGCCCAAGGCCATCTCTCCAAGGCTGCGGAGGCCCGAGGTGGGGGTCAGTGTCAGCAGAGTCTGAGGCCTGAGTCACTTCCTGACCATTGCTTAAGAGGCATTCAGAGCCACAACCTGAGTGGCCAGCTCATGCCCTTGCAGGATTGCACCCACTTGGGCAATGAGCGCTTCCCTGGTATTCCTTACCTTTCTGGGCTCACCTCTGCCACACTCAGGTTTTCGAGACACACAGCACAGAGGCTCAAGGCCCATCCCTACCCTGGAGAACTGGATCCTCAATCCAGAAGGAAACCTGAGTCTCCCGGACGACTCTCTCTTGCCTGTGTCCAGCCCTAGACTCTGCCTTCCAGAATCCTGCCCCAACTTCAGAATCAGAGTGCCTTCCACTGGCGCCACCGACCCCCAAGACCCAAAACTCCTGCAGCCCTCCCAGGCTCGTAGCCCCTCACCTTCTCCTCCTATAGTGTCTCAGGGCTGGAGTAGGGGGTGGGGCAGGGGAGAGGGTGGGGAGTATGTCAGATTTCTAGGGCAGGATGTATGAGGGAGACATGGTTTGATCAGTAGACATGTCCTTATGATGGGTGAGGTAGATGATTTGAAACACAGGCTGTTTCCTTTAAGAAGCAATGCCTCTCAACCCAGAGACAATGCATAGCCTTGGAGTCTCAAACCAGATGGTCTTAGCTTCTTCAACCCTGCTCTGTCCCTTACCAGCTGTGTGACCTTGGGCGAGCTACTTAACCTTTCTGTACCTCAGGTTCCTCATCTCTAAAACGAGGATAATACTACAACTGACTCATAGGACTCTTACCGGGATTAAGGGAGGTGTGTGTGTAAAACACTTAGAATAATGACTGGTACGTGGCAAACCATTAAATAAATATTTTTTCACTTTTAATGGACTGACTCTTCCATTCATTCTCCATATAGTTTTACTCATCCTACTGTGTGCCAGATATGCGTAAGACAGATTCCCCGTCTGCAATGCCTGTTGGGCATTTCTGTGGGATCCCTGCATCTCCCTCCCCCAAACCCCCAATCGTCTGGGCTGTGCCCGACGCTGCAGGACTGCATGGGAGGGGCTGTGGCATAGGGTTTGGGTTCAGAAGACTCTCTAAGGGAGGACCCCCAGCTTTCTGCAGGCCACGAGCAAGTTCCTTTCCTTCTTCTCTACTGTTGACAAAGTGAAGCAAGTGGTCCCCATCCCTTCCACAATCCCCTTCCCAGGCCAGGCATCTGGACCCCTTATAGCCATTCTCCACACCTGACCCTGTTCCTGGGCATTCTCGGTAATTTAATTTGAGCACGGAATCTTCTCCAGGACGCACAAGCCACCAGACACAGGTGGCAGAAGGCCTTGGCTTGTCATTGCCCTCATGAGGCATTAGGAAACCAGCAAAAACTACATTCAAAACTGGAAATTTGAACCTAGACTGGATAGTTGTTATTACAGGATTACTATTATTAATTTTAGGTGTAAAAATGATACTGTAGTTGTGTTTTTAAAATAATCCTTATCTTTCAGAGATACAAAAAATATTTATGGATGAAATGATATGATGCTTGGTTTTGCTTCAAAATGATGGGGGAGGAAGTATGTAGAGGAAACAGAACTGACTAGGAGTTGATGTAGTTGTTGAAGCTGTGGGACTGGGGCCATGCAGGGTCATTAGAACCTCCCTATCAAAGTGTGGTCCAGAGATCTTCGGAGCCTAGGAGCTAGTTAGAAATGCAGAATCGACTCCACCCCAGATCTACTGAATCAGAATCTGTATTTAATAAAATATAATTCCCAGGGGATTCGTGTGCACATTCAAATGTGAGAAGCAATGAGCTAGTCTGTCTACTTTTGTATACGTTTGAAACTTTCCATAATCAAAAGACGTGGGGTTTTGTTTTGCTTTGTTTTTTCCCAAAATTGTCTTCAGAATCTCCGGGGAGATCCTCCTACAGAGTCCCGCGCTGGAGGAATCTGGGAGGCTGTATCTTCCCGCCGTCCGCCATCCATGGGAGCCCCTCGGGTCTATCGGGCCCCCAGCCCCACCCCAGCACACGACGGGAAGCACCCTTTCCCTGCAGGGCAGCTCACCTGCCGCTTCTAGCTGGTCTGTGGTCCGGGCGCCAAACTCCGGGGCTGGCGGAAATCGGGCTCCCCAGGTTGCCGTCTGGCAGGCCTGGGCGTGGCTGCGGGGCGCACCTGGGCGAGCCGGCAAGTGGGACGCGGGGCCGGCCGGGGCCCCCGCCCTCGCACAGGGTGGGGAGGAGCGGGCGGCGCGGGGCGGGCACCGCGGGGACCGCGGGCGGGGGCGGGTGCTGGGAGCCTGGCGGGCCGCGAACGTACCCATCGCGCTGGGGCCGCCGAGATTGAGTGCCCAGGATGAACTTCACCTGGAAAAAGGGCTTCTACAAGCAGGACGTCAACAAGACCGCCTGGGAGCTGCCCAAGACCTACGTGTCCCTGACGCACGTAGGCAGCGGGGCCTACGGCGCCGTGTGGTGAGACCCCCGGGCCTGTGCGCCGGCGTGGGGGCACGGGGTGGGGGGCGGTGTGTGCCTGGGGCATCGGGGTGGAACTATGGTGGGCGCCCAGGCACCGGGACACCCGCCCAGGCGGGTGGAGCCTCCGGAAGAGCCGGGGCCCAGCCAATGCCCGCTTCCCGGACCCGCCTCCGGTGTCGCCTCTCCTGCTGGCGCTCGAGGCTGTGCGCCCACCACCTTGATGGAGGACCCCAAGGCCCGGAGCCCTGCGGGCTTGGAATAACTTCGCGGGTGCCCTTCTGGGGCAGAGGCCTGGAGCTGGGAGGAAGCGGCAAGCTGGGCAGTGAAGTAGAGCAGCAGCAGGAGCCTCAGGCTCTGGAGGCTGGCCTAGGGCCACTCCAGGCGCCATCTCTCTTTTATTACCGGCTTGGTGGGAGTTTCTGTGGGTTGAATTAGGACTGGATCTGTTTCTCCAGGACTTGAACCTTACAGAGGACCCCAGAGTTCATCCAGGCGAATCCCCATTGTTACAAATGGGTACACTGAGGCCCAAACAAGAAGTGACTTGCCAAGTTGCTCAGGATCCTGTTGGCATTAACCTGTGTCTGACCCAGGGGCAGTGCACCTCTCTCAGATTCTGCCTGCTGTCTCCCCCTTCTCCCAGCTCCACTGTGCTGTCAGCTGCTCACTCACATTCCAGGTGGTGGGCATCAGTTCCTCCCAGCTTAGACTGCTGGCCAAGAGGGATTGGGGTGAGGATGGCCATAGCTTCCTAGATGGCCTGGGAGTGACCACCCAGGATCTGGAGTCCCGGGGTTGTGATGGGGAGCCACTGGCTGCTGACCTGCCTTTGACCCTACAGCTCAGCCATCGAGAAGCAGTCAGGGGAGAAGGTGGCCATCAAGAAACTGAGCCGGCCCTTCCAGTCTGAGATCTTTGCCAAGCGGGCCTATCGCGAGCTGCTGCTGCTGAAGCACATGCAGCATGAGAACGTAGGCTGGGCCTGGGGGCTGCTTCTGGGAGGCAGGGAGTGGAGGGCAGCCCCACAGAGGGTCCTGACCAGGCCCCTGCACGCGCGCGCGTGTGTGTGTGTGTGTGTGTGTGTGTGGCACACACAGGAGATGGCCCACAAGGGTGCAGGGAACTCATAACAGGGCCAGCAGAAGGGGAATCTCCTCCCTGCTCCTTTGATCCTTGTTCCTCACCTAATTATTAAAATCAGGTGCCAGGACTCACCCTGCCTACTTCCCAGGAAGGGTGCAAAGGGCATTTTTGGCAGTGGAGCAGAACAAACTCCGTGAGGTGCGAACTTACTGTCTCACTGTTATGAGGAAATAGGCACAGAGGAACTTTGTAGTTGTTCTAGATCTAAGAGGTGGTGCCCAGAATCCTGGTTAGTGTTGTTTCCACATAATAACAACAAGAATAATCGATACTTACGAGCGCTTATTATGTGTCAGGCACAGTTCTAAGAAATTTGCATAAACTAACTTGTTTAATCCTCACAATATCACATAAGTACTATTACCCCCATATACAGATGGGGAAACTGAGGCACAGAAAGACTCACAGGTTAAATGGTTAGTCGGTGGCAGAGCTAGAATTTGACCCTACCCAACCTGGCTCCAGGCCCCAGGGCCTGACCTCTAGACTACCCTGTCTAGGAAGACTAATGACCCAGTGCTGGGCCTGGAGCCCAGGCTTTTCTGCAGGATACCTAGATTGGAAGGTAAGCATTTAACATAATGATTTCAAAATATTGTTCACGTTTTAAGCCCCATTCCTCTTCAGCAAACCCCTCCCCATGGCCTCCAGCCAGGGTAATCTTGCGCCCAGCTCTGAACCAGTCCTCTGGCAGGTAAGGTTGGATGTGGTGAGAGACCCAAGGTCAAGGGCAGGGAGCCTGCTGGCTGGAAGACCCCTTCTCTGTTTCCTCCTTGATTCCTTTCACCACTTGTGGTTCCCTGCTTGAGTTGAGAGTGGGTTTGTGCTGCTTGTCCGGAACACCAGACTTGGGGTCAGTGAGCACAGGAGTGTCCACCTCCCCTTCCCCCCAGCCTGACTCTCCATCACTGTGCACTGCAAACTCCCTCCCAATTAGAGGAATTCCTCTTCCACCTCTGCCCCTTTTACTGCTTCCCAGAAGGCTGGGAACCTGCCTCCTGCTGGAGATGGTGTTTTAGGAAAGGGCAGGTGGTCCTGTGCAGGCCTGGGGCCCCAGAGGAGGGGAGCAGAGGGCTGCAGCGGCTGCCCAGTCCTCACTGGCAACCTTCTCCCCAGGTCATCGGACTCCTGGATGTCTTCACCCCAGCCTCTTCCCTGCGCAACTTTCATGATTTGTGAGTCGGGCTGCGCTGGGTTCCAGGACATTTGCAGGCCTTACTTGACACTGGGGAGCAAGTAAGGGGAGGGTCCAGATTCTCTCTTCTGGGTAGGGGAGCTTCCTGCCCCAGGAGTCCCTGTGCCTCTGGGCTGTGGAGAGATTCTTTCAGCCAAGGGTGGAGAGAAAGGCCGGCAGGAAGAGGTGGGAGGGGCTTTATATGGACCTTGCCTGACACAGAGCTGTCTGCTCATCTGCATTGCTTTACCCAGCTTTACCACCAAAGAGACATCGTTGCCAGTCCCCACAGGGTTTGCATCAACCTACCTCACCATTTCCTGGGGACGCAGGTGTGGATCTGGACCTTGGGGCTCTTCCTAGCATGAAGCGAGGATCAGGAAGCCTTGGCTACCTCTAGCTGATGGGATGTTTATCAGAGTCACATAAAACGAGAAAATTTAGTTGCTAAATGCACGGCTTTGCTAGCGCAGTACCTGGTGTAAAATATAGGAAGCTTTGGGAAGGTGGATTTTTTTTTCAGTCCTGTTTCAAATGCAGCTGCAGGTCTCTTTGTTAGGATGCTTTCGTTTTCAATTTAATGCAGTGATTTTGAATGGGTTTTTTTCCCTATAATGCCAGCTGCTGGGCTTAGCATTGGGAATTTTTTTTTTTTTTAATAAATTCATTTATTTATTTTTGGCTGCATCGGGTCTTTGTTGCCACGAACAGCAGCTACTCTTCGTTGCGGTGAGCGGGCTTCTCATTGTGGTGGCTTCTCTTGTGGAGCACGGGCTCTAGGCGTGCGGGCTTCAATAGTTGTGGCACATGGGCTCAGTAGTTGTGGCTCGTGGGCTCTAGAGCGCAGGCTCAGTAGTTGTGGCGCACGGGCTTAGTTGCTCTGCGGCATGTGGGATCTTCCCGGACCAGGGCTCGAACCCGAGTCCCCTGCATTGGCAGGCGGATTCTTAACCACTGAGCCACCAGGGAAGCCCAAGCATTGGGAGTTTAAAGTGGACCTCGGGGGCTGACAGTAGTGAATACTGACAGTGGTGGTCAGTACTCTAGGTCTGGATAGAGAGCCAGAAATTGCAAGCTGCCTCAGCGGGCTTCACAGAGGAGAAAACTTTGAACTCAGTCCTGAAGGATAAGTTGACATTTGCCTGAGGTAGAAGGGGCTGAAGGGAGCCCAGGTAGAAGGAACTGCATGGGCAAAGGCCATGATGCCTGAAAGAGGCTGGGCCGTTTGGGCAGTATTGACAAGTGCAGTGTGGCTAGTGGAGACCAGAGGCTGGTTTGGTCAGGCTGAGACTAGAATTGATCCTACAGGCATCCTCAGGTCTGTAGAGGTTTTGAGCAGGGAGATGCTGTGATGTGGTCAGATCAGATTTTGGGGATACCCTCTGGCGGCAGCAAGAAAGGAGCAGGGAGTAACTCTGGGAGGTAGGAAACCTGGAGGGTAGTGTTCAAGACCCCGACCTTGATCCAAATAAAGTAGAGGTGATGGGGTCCTGAGAGCAGACTTGACACCCATCGAGAGGCAGGACTGTCAGAATGTTGTACCCCTTGTGATGCAGTGGCTGGGAGAGGTGGCATATGTCAGGGGGTGCCAGGTTCCTGCTCAGAATACAAGGTGGAGGAAAAACAGATCTTGGGAGAAAGATAGTGAGCTCCATTTTGGACACTTCACTTTTGAAGAGCCTATGAACATTCCAGTGTTTAATCAGCAGCTGCAAATAAACCTGGAGTTTAGGAAGGTCTGGGCTAGGGATGTGGATTTGGACCAGAATAATCACCAGTGGATGATAGCCAGAGCCCAGGGACAGGCTAGTGTAGAACATGATTCGATACTGTTCATTAAGGTATCAACACTAAAGGGACTTCCCTGGTGGTCCAGTGGCTAAGACTCTGCACTTCCAGTGCAGGGGGCCTGGGTTCGATCCCTGGTTGGGGAACTAGATCCTGCATGCATGCCGCAACTAAGAGCCTGCATGCTGCAACTAAGCCCGCATGCCGTAACTAAGATCCCGCGCGCTGTAACGAAGATCCTGTGTGCCGAGACTAAGACCCGGAGCAGCCAAAAAAAAAGGTATCAACACTAAAGAAAAGGTATAAGAGGATGAACAGACAGAGCCTGACTAGAGGTAGAAGCAGCAGAGAATTTTGAGGGAGTGTCAGGCTTTGCAAAACTTTGAATATAAAGAACCGGAGCCATGGGCGTTATGTGTTGGGCTGGTGGGGTGGGAGCAGATGCCAAGTTATCAGGGGACTGGATGTTAAGGCAGTGGGATCAAGAGGTGAGGACCGCTCGTTCTAGAAGTTTGATCGGGAGGGAAAGAGAGAGAAGGGGTGGTTACTTGAAGAAACAAGGTTAAGCAAGGGAAGGCGGTTGTATCACAGAGAGACTTCAGCAAGTTTGTCAGCTGAGAAGAAAGAATCAGGGTCCACGCAGAGGTGAAACACAAAGGTGGGGAAGGGTCTGTGCATGGAGCAGGGTCCCCGTGCTGGGGGGGTGGAGGCGGGAAGCGGGGGTGCGGTCAGGTGGGGGGAGACTTCAAAAGTCACAGGCTCAGGGAGATGGCTTCCACATCCTTTTTTTTTTTTTTTTTTTTTAATTCCTTCCTAAATCTTTATCCTTTTTTGTTCTGGACTTTGCTATCACTGCCTTGAGTAACAGTTACATTTTGCTGACTTCCACCTGTTTTGCAATCCCATTAAGAGGGTGTGTTGGCTCAGCTACCTCCTTCTTCCTTCTTCACCCTCCTGGAAACTTTTATTGTTTCCTTCTTGGAAGGAGGACATTTTTGTATGTTTGAGGAGCCATGTTGGCGGGGCATGACCCTCTGGGGGAGGAAATATTTGTACAGAAGCAGAAGGAAACACCGGCAAATGTTTCTAACTCACAGCAGTGGCTTTCTGTGGGGCGTGGAGGAGGGCAAGCAGAGGGCACCTTTGAAGAGAGGGAGCACTGCTCCATTTGTTTTCCCTGAGCACAGCTCCAGCTGAAATACGTACCCTGAGCTCTGCCAACAGGGCAGCCACCAGGGCCAGGCTGGGAGCCAGGAGTCAGGAGGCCCACTGCATGGGGGTCTGGCTGCCTGTGGTGGGGCTGGTTCTTTCTGCACATGAAGGTCATCCCTAAGGCCTCTGTTCTGCCCAGCCCCTTGCCCTCCTCTGAGCTCAGACCTGGAGCTGGGTGGGGCTGGGGATGTTCAAGAAGTCCTCATGACTTGCAGCTACCTGGTGATGCCCTTCATGCAAATGGACCTGCAGAAGATCATGGGAATGGAGTTCGGTGAGGACAAGATCCAGTACCTGGTGTATCAGATGCTCAAAGGTCTTAAGGTGGGTGGGAGCCTGCAAGATGGCAGGGGAGGGGGGCTTGGTGTTGAGACCTGGGGTTTGGGGGAGGCTAGACCTTGAAGGCTGGGAGAGCACACCATGACAAGGCAGAGGAGATCTCTGAGCCAGCCTGCAACACCTGGTGCAAAAGCCGGGCACTGGATTTACCCTTCTTCTTCTCTCCCCAACACAGTACATCCACTCAGCTGGGGTCATCCACAGGGTGAGTGCTTTCTCTGCTACATCCCCAGAGGCCCCGCCCACCCCTGGGGGCTAGGGTTAGGGTTAGGGGGTTCCAGGAGGTGGAGGAAGCAGGGAAAGTGGATTTTTCAGATCTAGGCTTGGCCCAGGAAGACCTGCTGAGAAGAATTGCTGTGTTCTGGGGAACTTTCTGGGAAATTTTTGCCAACAAAGCAAGCCCTGAGCTGGGTGTTTCAGGCTCCGAGAGGCATTTTAGAGCTGGATGGGCCCTAGAGGACACCTAGTCCAACCCTCATTCTGCACAGGAGACCAGAACCCAGAGAGAGGGGCAGGGGCCTGGCCAAGGTCACACGCTGGCTGGCAGCCGAGTGGGGACAGCGCCCACCTCTGCCTCTGCCCAGTGCTCCATCTCTTGTCTCATCTAGGACCTGAAGCCAGGCAACCTTGCTGTCAATGAGGATTGTGAGCTGAAGGTGAGTGGGCCCAGGCAGGGTCAGCCTGGGGTTGTGGTGGGCCCCTCTCCAATAGGAGCCCCCAGAAGCTGCTCGGGGAGCCTCTCTTAAGCGAACTCCTTTTTCCTATGTGCCCCGAGCCATAGATTTTGGATTTTGGGTTGGCACGGCAAGCAGATGCAGAGATGACCGGCTATGTGGTGACCCGCTGGTACCGGGCCCCTGAGGTGATCCTCAGCTGGATGCACTACAACCAGACTGGTCAGTGGTCCGCTGCCCGGGGGAGGGGGCTGGGGCTGGGGTTCTTCTCTGACAGCTTCCTCAAGGCTGTCTTGGTGACTCTGGGTTGACTCTTGGTGACTGCCGGGTCTTGGTCAGCTGGTCCAGGTGACACTTCCTCCCCCTCCCTCTGCAGTGGACATCTGGTCTGTGGGCTGTATCATGGCGGAGATGCTGACGGGGAAAACTCTGTTCAAGGGGAAAGATTGTATCCTTTGCTGGAAAAGGCAAACTGCATCCAGGGATTCATTCCTTCAACAGACACTTCATTATTTAAATCTGTCCTTTTTTCTTAATGTGAAAGTGATACATGCTCCCTGTGGAACAACTTTAAAGTACAGAGAAGCAAAGTGATGAAAACTAGTCACCTGTCATTCCAACACGTAAATGCAGAAAGTGCTGGACGTTTTGGCACCACACACCTGAAACTGGGCACCTGTGTGTGCTGTGCAGGGATTAAGGAGAAGATGTGGGTCTCCCTGCCAAACTCAAGAGTGCGAGGGTGTGGGGGGGAGTACACAGAGAAATGGATGGAGGTGACTGAGCGGGATGAGGCCAGGAAGGTGGCACATGCAGGAGCATTTGTAGGGAGGGACCCTTTACCCAGCCTGGCAGGTAGGAAGCCTTCCAGAGACCTGAGTCCTGAAGGATGAACCTCCCCTCCTAAAAGCAGGAGGAGGTGAGTGTCTGGAACCTGGATGGTCCACAGTGCTGGGTGGGCCTGATGGAGGGGCAGCAGGAAGGGCAGCTTCAGACCCACCCACAGGGAGTAAGGCTGAGCCTTAACCTGCCAAGACCTGGACCAGCTGACGCAGATCCTGAAAGTGACGGGGGTGCCGGACGCTGAGTTTGTGCAGAAGTTGAATGACAAAGCGGTGAGTGGCAGATGGGCCCAGGCTGGCCAGGGCTGTGCGCTTGGCTGACCAGGCCCAGGTGGGCTGCAGGCTGCGCCTCGCCTCTGCCCTGGCAAGGGCTCTTGCCTTCATCTCACTTTGGATTCGGACCTGAGCCTTCAGCCCCGCTCAGGGGCTTTTCTGGGGTCCCTGCTCTATACCCCATGGCCTAAGCCCTGAGGGGCTGACAACTGGGGATTATTCAGTGCTTTTCTGTCTTCCAGGCCAAATCCTACATCCAGTCCCTGCCACAAACCCCCAAGAAGGATTTCTCTCAGCTCTTCCAGCATGCCAGCCCCCAGGGTGAGTCTTGGGACCTGCAGTCTGTCTCAGCGGGCGGGCTCTCCATGGCGTGTGAGGCTCACACTCTGTGACCGCAGCTGCAGACCTGCTGGAGAAGATGCTGGAGCTGGACATGGACAAGCGCCTGACCGCCTCTCAGGCCCTCACCCACCCCTTCTTTGAATCCTGCCGGGACCCTGAGGAGGAAACAGAGGCCCAGCAGCCATTTGATGATTTCTTAGAACAGGAGAAACTCACAGTGGATGAATGGAAGCGTAAGGGCTCGGGGCCTCGGGCTGCTTCCTCTCTCTGCCTGCAGCACCCCTCTCCTCTGCCTGCTTCGTTTTCCTGCCTGCCCTCAGCCGGTCCCAACCCCCTCCTGGAGACTATCACCTCTTTCTCTCTGAGCGAATATCGTCTCCTGTGTGCACTTCTTTCTCCCTGCGCTGAGCTGACTTTCTGCTCCACACTATGTCTGTTGGGAGAGGGGGGCTCTCTCTTGCCCTCAGCACCCCGTACCCCTTGAACCACCCTGTCTTTCTCAGACCACATTTACAAGGAGATTGTGAACTTCAGCCCCATCGCCCGGAAGGACTCTCGGCGCCGGAGTGGCATGAAGCTGCAGTGACCCGTCTAGCCCGACCCTCGGCTGAGCCCAGGAATGGCCACATGGTACCACCCGCCAGGCACTGCCCCTGGGACCAATATTTATTTATTGAAGCTTTAACCCGTCTTGGATTATATAGCCTTCCAAGCAGAGGGCAGAGGACCCTTGTCCTTGTGTAGGAAACAGGCCTAGGAGATGCAGAATTCAGAGGTGTTGGTTGGGAGAAAATAGCTATGATCATAACTGGCCATATTAAAGCGCCCATCTGGAGAATCGCCTGTGTGTGGGGTCCTTACCTTCATGGCTGTAGTGGGGCTGAACTGGGGCAGGAGTCTACGGCAGTGATGGTGTATTAGTTTGCTAGGGCTGCTGTAACAAATGATCACAAACTGGGTGGCTTAAAATGATAGAAATTTATTCTCACAGTTCTGGAGGCTGGTAGTCTGAAATCAAGGTGTTGGCAGGGCCATGTTCCCTTCGAAGGTTCTAGGGAAGAATCCCTCCTGGCCTCTTTTTAGCTTCTGGTGGCTCTTGGAATCTTTGGTGTTCTTTGGCTTATAGCTGCATCACCCCTGTCTCTGCCTCTGTCTTCACAGGGCCTTCTCTGCTCTGTGTATCTCTGTCTTTGGCTGATCTTGTAAGAACATCAGTCACTGAATTTAGGACCCACCCTGATCCAGTGTGATCTCATCTTAATCCTTAGTAATTACATCTGCAACTATCTCATTTTCAAATAAAGTCACATTCTGAGGTTCTGGGTGGGCATGAATTTTGGGGGCACATTTTTCAACCCACTACAGATGGCCATGAGGGAGGGGCCCCATCCCAGAGCCCCTTTGTTGTGGAGCCAAACGTGTTTGGCTGCTAAATTAAGGGAGTTGCAGAGAGAGCTGCAGCTGGTGAGACATCGCATGCAGGTTATTTTGGGTGAGTGATCAGTAGTCAAGATATGAAACAGCAGGCTTGTTGACTGGGAGCTGCAGAAGGCAGAAATGGGCTTTTTCCAGGAAAACGGTTCTACTCCTTCCCCCTTTTGGGAATTGTACATCTCTCCTGAGCTTTAACCTGACAACAGATTGGATCCTTCTGTTCAGTAACTCTGTTCAGGTCTCAAACTTCCCTATGCACCAGGGCCTGGTTAATATGCAGATTCCTGGGCCCAGCCCCTGGGATTTTGATTTAGCAGGTCTGGGGTTGAGACCCTAGAACGTTTGAATGAGGACCCCTTCACCTCAACCCAAGCCCAGTGATTCTGATGGATATCTGACCACATTTAGAGAAACATTTAGTTGATTTCAGTACCACTTAATTTGTCAAAAGGCCTAAATTAGAAACCTACAATGGGAGACTGGGGGGCTTTAGATGACTTTCACACTCTCATTTTAGAGATGTTAAAACTGAGGCTCAGTCAGGGCATTTTTAGGGCAGTGATGTCATTGTAGATACACGACATTATGCATTTGTCAAAACTAGTGGAACTGTACAACACAGTGAGTGAACCCTCAAGTAAACTATGGACTTTCTTTAATAATAATGTACCAATATTGGTTCATCAGTTGTAATAAATGTACCACATTAATGTAAGATGTTAATATTAGGGGAAACCATGGGGGTGGGAGGGAGAGAGTATATGGAACCTTCTGTACTTTTGGCACAATTTTTCTGTAAACCTAAACCTGCGCTAAAAGATAATGTCTATTTTTAAAAGGAAAAAGAAAAAGCTTGAGGCTCCAGAGAGATACCCACAGTGAGAAAGTGGTAAAGCCAGGATTTGAACCACAGCAGCCTCGAACACTGTGCCAAAGGCCGTCAACCCAAGCCTGGAATCAAGGGTTGCCAGCTTCCCCGCCCTTCTAGCCTGTCTCTGAGCTTCTTCACTGCTGCCTGTGTCCAAGGACCCTGTTTTCTCTCCCAAGGAGTGGCCCTCCTATCCAGGAGGGAGGAGTGGGTCGAGGGAGGGGCTCTGACCTTGCTGCTGACTAAACTGCCACCGTCCCCTTAGTCTAAATCCTTCAGTGAATTGTCTTCTGAGACTCCTCAATAGTCCCAAGGAAAGTCTAGCCTTCTTGGCCTGGTATTCAAAGTCCCCTGCATTCTCTAAACTCATCTACTCCTACTGCCTCCTGTTTTCCCTATGCCAGCATGGCCTGCCAAGGAACACTAGCCCTGGGATACAACACCATGAGGCTCATTAACAGGTTAAAGGTTCTGACAAGTCCTGCAGTGAGGAGAACTGTTCAACATTGTTTAATCCAGAACTTGCCAAGTGTGCTTAACCGCAGGACCCCCTTTCTCCTGACGGCCAGCATGCACAGAAGCCTCTTTGCCTAGTGCAGCCCAGTATGCAGGTCCCAATACTGCTTTTCCCCAAGCAGGCCTGGAGCTTGGGCTTCTTTCAAAGCCTCTGTGGAGAAGTCCCTCCCTCCTTCTCCTCCTTATTCCCTCAAGACTTTGCCTCAGGCCTCCCTCCAGGAAGTCATTCTCCATCACCCTCCATCAGAGAATGGGCAGCTTCCTCCCTCTGCCCCTGGCCCTCTATGAACAGCATTTACAGTGTGTACGGTTCTGCTTTCCCTCCCCATTGCCCACTGTGAGCCCCTGATTGGAACAAACATCTATGAATGAATGATGTCCCAGGGGCCTGTTGGTCGTTTCTCTGCCCAGATCAGACCAGCATGGTATCCAGGGCAGCAGAGAATCCAGCAGGAAGCAGAAGTGGGTGCCTTGGCCTGTACCTTAAGACTTTTTCCCCTGAAAATCTCAGGCTCTCAAACTCCCAGGCCTCTCCCCATCATCCCTCAGTGTCCTCCAGTCCATCCCCCACCCAGAATTAAACTTGTGTGTGTCACCTCAGCCCCTTCTCTACAATTATCTCAAACTTGGGAAGTTTCTCCAGAGGGAGGTGAAGGTGCTGAGCAGTGTGAAGGGGTTCGTGGGCTCTGCCTTACCCTGTGAGCACCTGGCCAGAGTGACAGGAAATGAGTCCATTCTCAGGCTGGGTGGGGGAAAGGGGCTGAGCTTGGGGTTCTGGGCTCAGTTACTCTCACAGTTGGCCTGCAGGTCTTTTGCCCCTGGCCCTTGATGGACAGGGTTGAGCTTTGCCCTGTGGCCAGTGGGGCAGCTCAAAAGGTCTTGACAGAGATAAGGAAGCCAGACTCGGGAACTGGAGAGAGGTAACAGCGATCGTGCCCTTGATTCCCTCCTTTGTGAAATGAAGGGTGTCTTCGCACAAAGGCACAGCTCCTCTCCCAAGGCAGCCTGGACCTATCGCTGGGGCCTGGCAATTTGTGTCACTTGCGGAAGGGCTAGCCTGGCATGAAATGGGGGTGGCACTGCTCCCAGTGAAGGGCAGCACATGGAAAGGCAGAGATGGAAGAACTGCCCTTGCAAGGAGAGCCCGGTGTGCTCAGATGTCCCAGTGCCCGCAAGGGTGGAGGCTTGCTTGAAAGAGGGCTTGGCTCAACTTGCACCTGGCACATTGAAATAGCTTTTGTTCTCCAGGAGGGTGTGGGACAGTCATGTCCCTGAGCTGAGATACAACCACAGCTGGGGAGCGAGGAATCTCTTCCTCTTTTCCCCACATTTTCTGTCCTCATTCTCCCTAAACCCCCTGTGAATTAAGGTAAGAGGCTGGTGATTTTCCCCGTATTCACAATGGGCAGCAGAGGCACAAGGCTACTCTACCAAGCTAAAGAAGATGTCGCTGTCATGCCTCACACCCCTACCCCAAGATTTCCTGGAGCTGGAGCAGTGCCCGCTGGGATTCTGACTTGGTTCCTCCTGTGCGAGCCTGTGCTCAGCGGGGCAGCCGTGCTAACTCTGGGCCAGAGTGTCAACAAGGCCCCACTCCGCCCTGTCTGGGGGCTCCTGACCTTTTTTGTGCCGTGGATCCCTTCTCAAAATATTTTCCTATGCATAAAATAAAATACACAGGATCACAAAGGAAGCTAGTTATGTTGAAATACAGTTGTGAAAATATTTAAGGGTGTGATGTTTGGTGTACATGGGTTTCTTTATTAACACATTAAATAACAGGATCAAGGGGGTGAACCCAACACACTACTGCAAACCTGAAGTAGAAATGAGTTTAAACGATGTTTCAAGATATCTGCAGCAACTGTAAAGGGAAATGAAAAGTACTGCTTTCTACTGGCCCAGCTAATGCAACTGTAGTTTGCTGCCTTTAAAAGCTGTAATATTTTCCAATCCAAATTCATGGACCTCTGAATTCCAGTGTACAGTCTATGGTTTGTGGACCCCGGTTAAAAACGCTTGTCCCAGATGCTAAAATGTGACTTTTGGAATCCTCTGCTACGTCTTAGCCAACCCCCGTATTGTACCGCCGTCTGTGCCCCCACCCCCCACCTTGCATGATCGTGGAGCCATGCTGGAAATGCCCAGATCTGCACCTGGATGCCTAGAACACATACTAACCACCATTCCCCTGTGTTTCCCAACCTTACTGTCCAGGTAGGAATGGGTCTGACTGGGGCATTTCGCTAGGGAATTTGCTGAGGCCTCTATATCTAGTTTTCAACTAGGTGGAATCCTCCCATCCCCACCCCACAGCGTTCCTTCTACACAATTTTACTGATGAAGACATTTGGGCCCAGAGTAGAGACTGGGGCCCAGGTCTCCTATTTACCACTGCACCGTTCTTTCCACTGCAACGGTGGCACAAGCACACATTGAGGTCAATGCGTGCTCTTCTCTCCCTGCATTACTGTCCCTGTTCCCCCCAACCATCACGGACACAAAAGTAGCAGGGCTTTGAGACAGGTTTGTGTTAACTGGCCAAGGGAAGAAACTCCCAGAAGCACACTTGTTTCTCTCTGTTTTCTTAAAGGTCTCACCCTTGAGAATATTTTGGTAGGACTCTGGGAGGGGAAAAGGTGAGAGAGTGAGGAAGGGAAGTGCATTTGAGAAGCAGTGTGGCTTAGCTAGGCAGTTTCTCCTGACCGGAAGGAGGTAGAGGCCCATTAATACTCACATTCTTTTGGACTATGTCCAGTTCCCTGTTAACACCCTGGCAAAACTCACGAGGAAGGTGCTGGGTACGCTCAGGGAGGCTGGACCGTAAGCAAATTCTCCTGGTCTTGGCTGAAATTACTCAGGGTTTCTCCTATGGATAGCCCACCATTCTTAATTGATGCAGCAGCTCAGTATTTTTAAGTACAGACTGATGATCAGAGGAACTCTCCTCGTATTGTGGGGTCCATAAGATCCCAGAACTTTTGTATAATTCCAAGGAGGAACCCCAATAAAGACAGTGGGTGGATTTCCTCCAGCCAAGCAGGATACAGCCTTGGCTTTAGAAACTCTAGCTTAATCCAGCCTCTCCTTTTTATCTTCTGTCAGAAGAGTGGCACCTCTGTCTTACCCTCTTCTTTCCCTATGTGGTTTACTAAGGTGGTTAAGTGTTGAGCTCTGGAGGCATACTGCCTCCTGCTCTACCACTTACCAGCCATGTGACCTTGGGCCTCAGTTTCCTCATCTATAAGGATAATAATACTAAAGAAATTAACATAAGGGAAGCACTCAGAAGAGTACCTGGCACATGGGAAGGGCTCACCAAGCATTAACTATTATTTTAAATTATTTTCTCTACCACATCCTCTTCCCTCCCCGATTACCCCATCTTCCGGACATTGTCATTTCCTCCTTCTCAACAGCAGTTTTCTCCACTCACCTGGTCTCCTTCATGTTAAATCTTCCCTCATAGGTCCTCAAGAGACCTGGCCCCAGTCACTTATACTACAGCTTATTTTATGACCCTGGTATCTGCAGCTTCTCATGCAGGGTCTGGGAGGCAGCAGAGTGTGGAGTTGAGAATGTGAGCTTTCCATCTGAAAAGACCTGAGGTTGAGAGAGAAGGGGGATGGATTTAAGGAACTGGCTCAGTGACTGGGTGGGGAGTGGTTGGCAAGTCTGAAATCTGTAGGGCAGGCTAGTAAGCTGAAAATTCAGGCAGAATTTCCATACCTATGACAATCTTGAGGCAGATCCCTTCTTTTCTAAGAAACCTCAGTTTTTGCTCTTAAGGCCTTCAACTAATTGGATGAGGTCCACGTACATTATAGAGGGTGATCTGCTTTACTTAAAGTCAACTGATTGTAAATGTTAATCACATCTACAAAATTTCTTTCCAGCATCATCTAGACTAGTGTTTAAGGATACAACTGGGCACACAGCCTATCCAAATTGACACATAAAGCTAACCATCACACCATGTGTTTGAGGGCAGGGTATTTACTTCTCTGAGCTTCATTTTCTTTCTCTAAAATGGAGTAATAGAAGGGTCTACCTCACAGGACTGGTGAGGGGTAAGTGCATACAGAGTGCACAGTAAATGTTAGTTCTTGTACCAGGAGGTGCTCAAAAACACACTGATGATGGCAATCCTCTTGGAAGTACTGGGAAATATACGCCATGGCCCATGGCCGCTGCTCTCAAGCTTTTGGCTGAGTTATGTAGGTATGCACTGTGCTTTCTCCCATCTGTTCCCACCCAACAGACTGGCTCAGAACCTTTAGTTCATGTGAAAAACTCCCAAAGAAATGAACCTTCACTCTCTTTTTTATGGGGAGAGGAGGAAAGTTTCTCCACTGGGTTTCTTTATCTTTGAGACAGTGGAGGGCTTGGAGCAATACGTCAGAAAGAATTAAATTTCACTTCTTCAGCAGCCATTTCACATTTTGTGAGAACTGCATATTCATGTCGGTAAAGCGCCAAGTAGGAACCAGATGACAGCTCAGTTTTCCTGGAAATCAGGAAATCAATCAAGCTGCCAAAATGAGATGACTGCATTGTGAAATACTGCTAACATTCCAGAAAGTTGTTTTAAGATGAATTTTTTAAAATGGAAATTCTGTTTCTCTTCCTCTTTCTCTTCCTCCCTCCCTCCTACTCTCCCTCCTATCCCTTCTCCCTCCCTTCCTTTTCTTCCCTCTCTCCCTCTCTCTCTTCCTTCCCCCCTCCCTCCCTCCCTTCCTTCCTTCTTACCTACCTACCTTCTTTTCACTCCTTTTTTTAAGCCAGTGCTCAACTACTTCTTCTAATATGTTCAGCCTAGGTATGAGTTTTCAAGAATAGGTGAGATGATATATGGGTCTCTTTGCCTGTCTCTGAGACCTTTCCATTGTTCCAATGGCACCCTTCTCTACCTGTCCAGGAGTCTGCTTGCCTTTATCCACACCTGTCTCTCCTGTTTCTTATCCTTTTTTCTTTTTAATTTATTTATTTGGCTGTGTCAGGGTCTTAATTGCAGCACGTGGGATCTTCATTGTGGCACGCGGGATCTTTCATTGCAGCACACGGCCTCTTCAATGCAGTGCATGGGCTTCTCTCTAGTTGTGGGACTTGGGCTCCAGACCACATGGGCTCTCTAGTTGCGGCGTGTGGTCTCTCTAGTTGTGGCGCATGAGCTCAGTAGTTGCGGTGTGTGGACTCAGTAGTTGAGGCGCACGGGCTCAGTAGTTGTGGTGCACGGGCTCTCTAGTTGTGGCACGCGGGCTCAGTAGCTGTGGCACGTGGGCTTAGTTGCCCCTCGGCAAGTGGGATCTTAGTTCCCCAACCAGGGATGGAACCCACGTGCCCTGCATTGGAAGGAGGATTCTTAACCACTGGACCACCAGGGAAGTCCCTGTTTCCTATCCTTTTTTACAGTGAAACCATGACTTCAGCCACCTCCTTAAGAATTAGGAATAAAATGATTCCAAAAAACCTTATCTGTGTCTAGTGTCAAGCTGAACCTTAAAATTTATTTGTTTAAATATATAAAATAAACTTTTAGTTTTAGAATAGTTTTATAGAAAAGCTGTAAAGAAAAAACAGAGAATTTCCATGTACTCCACACCCAGTTTCCCTATTATTAATATCTAACATTAGTATGCTACCTTTATCACAACTAATAAATCAATATTGATATATTATTAACTAAAATCCAAACTTCCATATTTCCTTAATTTTTACCTATTCTTTGCTGTTCCAGGATCCCATCCAGGATGCCACATGTCTTCTTAGGCTCCTCTTGGCTGTGACAGTTTCTAAGACTTTCCTTATTTTCAGTAACTTTAACAATTTTGAAGAGTTACTGGTCAGGTATTTTGTAAAATGTCTCTCACTTAGGGTTTGTCTGATGTTTTCTCATGATAAGACTGGGATAATGTGTTTTGTGGACTAAGACCACATGAGTAAAATGACATTCTGATCACATTGTATCAAGAGTATATAGCATCAGGGACTTCCCTGGTGGCACAGTGGTTAAGAATCCACCTGCCAATGCAGGGGACACGAGTTTGAGCCCTGGTCTGGGAATATCCCACATGCCATGGAGCAACTAAGCCCGTGCACCACAACTACTGAGCTTGCCCTCTAGAGCCCGTGAGCCACAACTACCGAAGCCCACATGTTCTACAGCCCGCGTGCTGCAATTACTGAAACCCGCATGCCTAGAGCCCATGCTCCGCAACAAGGGAAGCCACCGTAATGAGAAGCCCGCGCACCACAACGAAGAGTAGCCCCCGCTTGCCACAACTAGAGAAAGCCTGCGCGCAGCAACGAAGACCCGAAGACCCAATGCAGCCAAAAAAAAAAAGAGTATATAGTATCAAAATGATTTATCAGGGCTTCCCTGGTGGTGCAGTGGTTGAGAGTCTGCCTGCCGATGCAGGGGACACAGGCTCGTGCCCCGGTCTGGGAAGATCCCACATGCCGCGGAGCGGCTGGGCCCGTGAGCCACGGCCACTGAGCCTGCGCATCCGGAGCCTGTGCTCCGCAACGTGAGAGGCCACAACAGTGAGAGGCCCGCGTACCGCAAAAAAAAAAAAAAGATTTATCACTGTCAGTGTTAACCTTGATTACCTAGGTAAGGTTGTGTTAGCCAGGTTTCTCCACTATAAAGTTACTTCTTCCCCCTTTTCATTCCCCTTTTTCACTGCCATTCCTTGAGAAGGGAATATCTACAAAAATTATTTGGAGTTCTCCTGTATGGGAGATTTATTCAGCAATTTATACCAGAATGGACTCATGGATATTTATTTTATACTTTGGGTTATAATCTAATAAATAAAAGAATAAAATAAAAATAATAAAAGCTTTACCTTTTGACTTGATCTGTAGGTTTTCTTCCTTTTGTGTAGATTGAGCCCATATCCCTGAAAGGACCTGGAGGTACTGCCCACAGCCAGACGGAGAGTCCACTCATCAATCCTGCAAACACACAGGGTCCTAGGGGTAGTGGGAAACAGTTTCCACTTCTCCCATTTGGATGCTGGTCAATCCAGAGTCCACTTTGGATAATCATCCTAAAGGCCCTTCCCTCTCTTGTCTGTCTTTTTCCTTATTGATCCTCTCCGTCTTTTCCACCCCTATGTCCACCTACTCCTGGTAAGGAATTTGGGGGAAACTTCACTCTACTTGCATGAAATAATAAAGCTAAATACAACAAATAAAACATTTATAGGCATTATAGCTATGCTCTAGTTGCATGTTTCCTAGGTGCACTGCTTTGGGTACTTTACATATACTGTTTCTAATCCTCACGCTAATGACAAAGTAATTGCTATTCCCATTTTACAGATGTGGAAACTGGGACTCTTGAGAGTTTAAAAAGTTCACCCAAGGTTTTTCTGCTATTGTACAGTTTGCTTCTTCTCAATAGTCTCCTTCCCTCCTTCTTCTCATCCACCTCCTATGTGACTACCGGCAAACCACTTCCGTCTGAGCCTTAATTTCTTGTCTGGTGATACTGTTGGATGAATTCAATGAGAAATGCATAGAACGCATAGAAAGTCTTCTGCACAGGGGACTTTCCTGGTGGCGCAGTGGTTAAGAATCCACCTGCCAATGCAGGGGACACGGGTTCGATCCCTGGTCTGGGAAGATCCCACGTGCCGCGGAGCAACTAAGCCCGTGTGCCACAACTACTGAAGCCCGTGCGCCTAGAGCCTGTGCTCCGCAACAAGAGAAGCCACCGCAGTGAGAAGCCCGCACACCACAACGAAGAGTAGTCCCAGCTCGCCTCAACCAGAGAAAGCCTGTGCACAGCAACGAAGACCCAACGCAGCCAAAAATAAATAAATTAAAAATTCTTAAAAGATAAAAAAAAAAGTCTTCTGCATAGGATTCAATAAATAGCATGTGTTATTACTTTTAATTTCATGAGGATTAAATTAATTTTAATAAACCTCTATTCTTGTTTCCTTTTTCTATTTATGCTCACCTCTTAATGGTCTCACCTATTCTCATGGCTTTAAGTACCATCTATCTATAGGTCAATGCATACCAAATGTATATATCTACCTTGGATCTTTCCTTTAAATTTCAGACAAGTCAACATCTTCACTTGAGTGTTTTGAAACAAAAGTAGGAGGTTCTGCTTCTAGTAGTGACGGAGTAGCCTGTATTGTATTATAATAATAATGGACTCTGGATAAAATAAAAGAATACAATGATTTGAAGGGACTGGAGAGAATAAAAGCAGGAAGAAACTGGAAGGGAGTCAACCATTGATAGAAGGGAGGTGCAGTGGATACGACTTGTGATTATAAGGATTTTTGCCTGAAGGCACTACCCAGAAAACATAGCATAGAACGGCCAGAATTCAAGTGTAAAGTTGCTAGTTTGACAAGTCAGAGAATCAAGTTTAGAAAGGAAATCCAAGAAAGGAAGAAGGCACAGAGGCTTCTTAAAAATGCATATAAAATTTGACCAACTCCTTGGCTGACTCCTGACCTGTGCATGTGCAGGGGATACTCCAAGGAGCCCAGCAGAAAACAATGAGAAAAAGACAACTGGAAAATAAATGAACTGAGCAGAAATTTTAGCTGCTGCCTATCTCAAGGGACACAGAATTTGGAATTTTATGCCTGCCAAGTTAACTGCCTAATAAAAATAAATAGCCTCTAGAGGAAGATAACAGAATCTAGATTTTCTACAATGTATCTGCTACAATGCCCTGTATTAAAAGATTTTTGTTTAATGCTGAACTTGCACATAAGCACGGAAATGTGAACCATAGCCAAAAGAAAGGTAGTCAATAAAAATCAATTCTGAAATAACTCAGATATTTAATTAGTGGGTGAAGATTTCAAAGTGGCTATAATAAATATGTTCAAGAACCTTTAAAAAATGTACTCATAATGAATAAGCAAGTGGGCAAATTCATCAGAGAACTAGAAACTATAAAAAAAAAGTGGCAATTCTAGAATTAAAAACCATACATGAAAAATTGACTAGATAGGCTTAATACAGTAATACATGATCCATGGCGGGCTGAGGCCGTGGAGGCAGAGCCGTGGATACTAAGCAACTGCACATATGGAGGGCTGACTATAAGTTATACGCAGATTTTTGACGGCACAGAGGGTCTGTGCCCCAACCCCTGCGTTGTTCAAAGGTCAACTGTATATTCTCCTCATAGTTTCTTTAAAAGAGATGAATATTTAAAGTGAAGAATATACCACTACATTGTAGAGTTTATAATATATTTAATAAATATGAAGACAATAGCACAAAAGATAAGTTGGGGGAAATGGAACTTTACTGTTGTAAGATTCTTACATTTCATGTGATGTAAGACAATACAAAATCCAAGTAGAGGACTTCCCTGGCAGTCCAGTGGTTAAGACTCCATGCTTACACTGCAGGGGGCACAGGTTCAATCACCGGTTGGGGAAATAAGATCCCACATGCTGCATGGCATGGCCAAAAAATTTAAAAGAAAAAATTAATATCCAAGTAGACTACGATAAGTTTAGGATGCATGCTGTAATCCCTAGAGCAACCACTGAAAAATAATGCAAAACAAGAATTAAAACAAAATGAGTAAAACATTCAATTAACCCAAACAAAGGCAAGAAAAAAGCAGATGAACAAACAGAAGTAACAAATAGTAGACCTAAATCCTACCAGATTGTCAGAAAGGATAAAAAAGTAAGACCCAACAACATGCTGTCTACATGAGAAGTACTTTAAATATAAAGACACTGGTAGATTGAAAGTAAAAGGATGAAAAATCATAGACTATGAAAACACTAAGCAGAAGACAGCTTGAGTGGCTACAGTATAGTGGACAAAAAAGATTTCAGGACAAAGTTATTGGAGACAAAGAGGGACATTTATAAAATGAAAAGGTCAGTTTTCATCATCAGTAAGACATAACAATCATAAACGTGTGTGTGCCTAATAACAGAGCTTCAAAATGCATGCATACTGACAGAACATGCCCAATATATCTATTTCATTATTTTGTGTTTCATATCACTAACATCTTCCCTTAGCTTTTTTTTTTTTTTTGCGGTACGCGGGCCTCTCATTGTTGTGACCTCTCCCGTTGCGGAGCACAGGCTCCGGACGCGCAGGCTCAGCGGCCATGGCTCACGGGCCTAGCCGCCCCGTGGCATGTGGGATCTTCCCGGACCGGGGCACGAACCTGTGTCCCCTGCATCAGCAGGTGGACTCTCAACTAGTGCGCCACCAGGGAAGCCCTTCCCTTAGCTATTTTAATGTCTATTATGCTTGTTCTAAACTTGTGGTTCATCTGTTTGAATACCTCTACTTCTGAAGGTAGTTCTCTTTGGGATGTCTTTTTATTTTGGCTCCTCTGTCTAATAATGAGCACTGGGGAAGGGCAGAGGTTATACCTAGTCTGTACAACAATAAGATAGTGGACAACCTTGCCTTGTTTCAAAGGAAGTGCTTCTAAAATACTTAATGTTGTGATTAAGTATGAATGTTTACTGGGTTTTGGTGGATACATTTAATCAGGTTAAGGAAGTTGACTTTTTTCTAATTTGCTAGTGTTTTAAAAAAAGTTGCATGACTGTTAAATTGTACTGAATGCCTTTTCTATAACAATGATCATGTTTTCCCCTTTAAATCTCTTTATATAATGAATCTACTAATAGATTTTCTAATGTTAAACTATCCTTAGATTCCAATGGTAAATCCTTCTTGGTTATAATACATAGGCACACATCTATTATTAACATCTTGTGGTACATTGGTTACAATCTATGAATCAATACTGATATACTCATGAACTAAAGTTCATAGTTTACATTAGGGTTCACTCTGTGTGTTGTATAGTTGTTATAGCTTTGATAAATGCACAATGTCATGTATCCACAATTACAGTATCATACAGAATAACTTCACTGCCCTGAGTGCTCTATTAATCCCACCCCCACCCCCTGCCTGCTGCAGCCCTGGCAACCAGTAATCTTTTTACTGTTTCTATAGTCTTGCCTTTTCCAGAATGTCATATAGTTGGACTCATAGAGTACGTAGCCTTTTCACATCGTTTTTTTCATTTAGCAATATGCATTTAAAGTTCCTCCATGTCTTTTCGTGACTTGATAACATAACACTTCTTTTTCTCACTGAATAGCACTCCATTGTCTGGATGCACCACAATTTATTCATCCATTCACCTCTTGAAGGATATCTTGGTGGCTTCCAGTTTGGGGCAGTCATGAATAAAGCTGCTATAAATACGTGTGCAGGTTTTTGTGTGAGCATACGTTTTTTAACTCAGTTCAGTAAATACCTAAGAGCACAATTGCTGGATTGCACGGTAAGCCTTTGTTTAACCTCATAAGAAACTTCCAAACTGTTTTCCAAAGTGGCTGCATCATTTTGCATTCCCACCAGCCAAGAATGAGAGTTCCTGTTGCTCCACATCCTCATCAGCCTTTAGTGTTGTATTTTGTATTTTAGCCAATCCAATAGTTGTGTAGTTGTATCTCATTGTTGTTTTAATTTGTAATTCTCTAATGACATATTCTGTTGATCATCTTTTCATGTGCTTATTTCCCATCTGGACATCTTTGGTGAGGTGACTGTTCAGATTTTTTTTCCCATTTAAAAACATTAGGTTGTTTGGGGAATTCCCTGGTGGTCCAGTGGTTAAGACTTCACACTTTCACTGATGAGGTCCCGGGTTCAATCCCTGGTCTGGGATCTAAGACTCCCGCAAGCCACGCGGTGCAAGCCAAAAAAAAAAAAAATTAGGTTGTTTGTTTTCTTATTGTTGAATTTTGAGTTCTTTGTATATTTTAGATACATGTCCTCTATCAGATACATGCTTTGCAAATATTTTCTCCCAGTCTGTGACTTATCTTTTCATTCTCCCAACAGTATCTTCTGCAGAGCAGAAGTTTTCAATTTTAATGTAATTCAACTTATGTATCTATTCTTTGATGGATCAC